ATGGAGTGACAGGAGATGCAAGTATGGGATGAACAAACCTAAGAATTATGGTTGAAATATTAGTGAGAATTATAATAAGCATCATCATTTATCTTCTGGCAACAACTGTGATTTCCCTTTGGGAATTCACCCTCCTGCTGCTTTCTGTCTTAAGTTGGTCCAAATGCAGTAAATAAGAGAACATTAGCAAGAGCTACCTAAAAAGAGACACTCTCTTTCCAACTGAATTTGAACTTGAGCCTCTGTTATGATTTAGCAAACACATGAAGGCTGAGAATAGAATGAACACACCAAAGGCAGCATAATGTAGGGGGAAAATCAGAGTTCTGATGGAAGTGTCTGAGCCGGAAATGAAGCTGCATCTGAAACTGGCTCTATCCTTGGACCACTTTTCAGGATCATTAGCCGTCACACTTCCCTTGTCCATCCTCATGTAGTTAGAATTGCATGTTTTCTATTATCTGCAACCGAAAGAAAACTAACTGATACATCACATATAAGAAAGGCCGAAGAACCAGGCCTAACTGAACAATGTGTGTTTCTTTCATACAAAAAAAAAAAAAGAAAAAAAACCAAATAGCTTATATTCTTACAAGCAGACTATCTAGATTTGAATTCCAGATTTATCGATTATTAGCTGTGCAACTTTAAACAAGTTAATTAACTTCTCTGTGCCTTCTTTGGTAAAATAGAAGTTCTCACCTCATACCTTTGTCCTGAGGATTAAACAAGTTAAACCCTTGGAACGATCTCAGTCTTATCCGTCACATCAGGATGATCTGGGAAGAGTGAGGGTGTAGCAGGCAGGAGAAGTGGATTTGAGGGTTTGCATCAGAAAAAGTGAAAATTCATTCTTAGGAAAGTGAAAAAGTAGCATATGAATGAACATCAAAGCAGAAGAAAACATAAGATCCCAGGCAGGCCAGTGTCAAAAGGAGGAGTTTTGGATGGGGTCTGTGGAATGAAGTGCGAAGGTCTAAGAGCTACAAGAATAAGAGGGACAAGGAGAGAAGAGCTTAAGAAAGGTTGGTGTGTTTTACAAATGGGTCTTTTATTTCAAAGAGATAAAGCAATGAAGGAGGTTGTTTCAGTGATGTTACGCCACCCTCTGTCGGAGCCATGACACCCTGAGCTGTGCCTAGCGGCTATCTCTTTGGGGTTGGTAGCAAGTGTAAGGGCAGGAATGTTCTGTCTTTAATATATAATTTTTGTATTGTAGGGATTTATAATAATTACATATTTGTTTTATTCAGTGTAAAACAAAATAAACTAGAAATTGGATATTGGAAAGGATACTTAAATGTTTGCCTTTTAAAAACTGGATTTTAAATCATGTGAAGAGCCAGTTTTTAAGGTAACGTGATTTGAAATAATAAGCTCAATGGTTTTTCTACGAGCAAAATACTTTATAAGGTAAAAACCATTCATATGTATGTCATAAGGTACTATGTACAAATATTCAGAGGAAGATGAGGGTGTAAACCATGTATCTGAGAGTTAGAATTCTTGCTTATGAACTGTCAAGGGCAAGTTCTGGGTCTTCACTACAGTTTAAAGAACCAGGATCATTACAGCCACCCTGCCCTTTGGGCATCCGCCACTCTCCTCCGCCCATACAATTCCTGCTCACACAAAAAAAATATGTTTTTTTTTAATGGGAAAACCACAAAAATTTAAAAGGGTGTCTATAATTTTAAAACTCATAATAAAGTATGAATACATGAATTCTCTAATAAGTTACTAGTTTTAGGTTAAAGAACAACTTTTGAAAGATTTTTCTTCTGCTAGAATCCAAGTGATTTGCCTTCACACTGTTAATCAAATATTGATTAATATTTGATAGTAGTAGTGATAAGTATTCTTCCAGCAATAATTATGGAATGCATCAATATCGGTAAAGCCTGTATTTTCATATCAAATCAGTACAGGAAGTAACTTTCTCTTTCTGATTTCAGCTTTAGCTGAAAATATTTAATTCTTGGACCATTGCCTTTTTTTCTTCTTAAGACTTTAACATTGAGTACACATGATATAGAAACTAAAAACGCGTAAGAATTCTATAAACAAAATCAAAGAATCTTGCCAATTGTTTTATTTTCTTTGACTCTGTGGTGAATGTGTCAGAAACATTTTGTTTAAGGAGAATTATGAGGTTAATTATTTTGTTCCAAGCTGTTAATATTTTGTACATCCAAAATCTCCTTTTCCTGGAGAAGTGTCAGACGAGCTTCATAAATATTTTTAGTCGGAAATTAAGGATTAGGCACTGAAATGCAGGGCAGTGAACTTCTAGTGACATAGATTCATTGACTTGTATTTTGCAATGCAAAGCATTTGTATATTGTGTATAGCGTGATGGGGTGCAACAATGAAATAAATGCCTTCCTTAGGACTGGAAATGAGGGCTGCATATATTATTGATGACGAGGTTTACGTTAGAAATAAAAGCTGAAACTATGTTAGAAATAAAATCATGTTACCGCAAACCTCACCTCAAATTAGTAGAACATTACATTGATTGTGCTACAATATTGGGGTAAAAAGTGGTTTAAAAACATCTGGCAGTAAATTGGGTGTTGGTTTGATCACAGCAAGTACTTTTCTCGCCCACTGAAAAATTATTGTGCTGTGACTACGTGAAAAAAATGTTAGAAGGGAGAATCTTTTTGATTCTTCTCAATAGAGAACCTCATCTCATGTTTTGAAAATTGTCCACCATGGGAATGTTTATTTCCCACTGAATATAAAAATTAAGAAGGCAGCAGGTTGCCAGATTTAACAAGTAAAAATACTATAAGGTGCCCAACTGAATTTAAAGTTCACATAAATGTCACATATAAGCCCAATAAGTGCATCCCCCCAATTTTGCAAATATTGAGACTCCTGTATTTTATTCTGCAACCCTCGAAGCAAGATACTTGTTTTCCCAGCCTTCTGTGCAGCTAGAATGTCACATAGGATGACCTGTGGCCTAAGATTGGCCAATTAGATAAACTGGCCCAGATCTTGACTCAGAAAAAGCAGAAACAGTGGAGAATCCATTTAGTCAGTGGGGGCAGCAGAGGCAGCAACGTAAAGTTTCCATGGCAACACCGGTTGTTTCACAGTGGTGCCCAACACTGGAAGCTTTGGCATCGAAGTCCAATAGCAGCAGGAATGTCTCTACTGGACTGACTCTGGGGTGTGATGTCACTGCTTAGCCTCTCTCCTCCCTGTCCCATTTCCAAGAATCCTTTAGAATTCCTGATCAGTCTTTGGGCTACACAACATGCATTCAAGAAATAACCTTTTCTATTGAAACTGCTCATAATCACTTTTTAATATATAAGAGCCTATTTAATAGCAGAAAAGAATGTTCTGGGGAGGGAAAAAAAGAAACCCAAACATTCGAACACAAATGTCAGGCATCCTCCTGAGAGCAGAGTCTTCACTCCCTTCCAGGAGCAGAGCACAGGGCGAGCCCATGGGGGCTCTGGAGAGACGGCCCCTCGGTCACAGTCCAGCTCCACCCCTTCACTACCTAGGGAACCTTCAGCATGTTACTCGATATTTCTGTTGCTCAGAAAAGTTTGTGCCCTCACCTATGAAGTGACGTAACAATAATGTCTATATCATCGCAGTGTGTTGAATTTCAAATGAGTAAATATTTAGAACAGAGGCTGGTCCATAGAGAGCCCTGAACATATGTTTTAAAAACAAAAAGCTATCATCATTCGAAGTGGTGTTCAGAGGCAAACACAGTCAGTTGGGACCATGTTGCCTCTCTCCTCCCAGTGCTAGGAAAGGACTTCAGAGGAGCTGTTTATGTATAACAAACTGTTCCATGACTAATACACGTTAGAATAAGCAAAGCATTCTAAGTATTTGTACTCAGACTTTTAGCATTGCAATGTCAAGCTAGAGGACATGGTTGGCCTCACTTGAAAGTGAAATAGGTAAGATTAGGAAGGAAATATAAAAACCTACCTATTGTAAAACATCATCCCCCCACTCGTTATGATCTTATAGAGTTAATTATTAATGGACGGAGCAGCAAAGGGGCATATGGAGTGATCAGAGAGCTAGAACACCATTAGCAGATTGGACAGGGAGGTTTATTTGTTCAATTAATAGGTATTTCAGGTCTTGGAGCAACATATAGGATTTGGAATTTCAGTTGAGTTAATGATAAGGAGCAAGAGTGGCAATTTTATCTCTTTTTTAAAAAATCTGCAGCTGAGTATGATTTTAGAGAGGAAGGAAGAAAGGCAGGGCCAGAGAGAGTAAGAGACAGAGAGAAACATCCAAGTGACAGAGAAACATAGATCGGTTGCCTCTTGAACGTGCCCCGACCAGGGATTGAACCCGCAACCCAGGCATGTGATCTGATCAGGAATCAAACCTTTTGGTGTAAGGATTGACACTCCCACCACCTGAGCCACCCAGCCAGGGCTTACCATCTCTTGATGAACAGAGAGATAGTGTGAAATTGAGGTCAAGAGCAGGACAGGAGAATAGACCACATATCAGGAGGCGGAGCAGGAATCAGGTAGAAGGGTGAGAGGGAGGAGAACGGGACCAAGCACTGAGGAGAGGGAAGAATCTTGCAAACATGTATAAAACACGCCTCGATCACTGCTGTTGTGCCAGCATTGATTTCTGTGACTAGCATATACAGTAAGTGCTCAAAACTTATTTATTTAACTAACTACACCATGGTCTTGTAATGGAAATGTGGGGGAACAAACTGTTCATGCCATCAGCAAAATAATGCCAATTTTTCCACCGATGAATATTTATCATGCTGGGCACTGAGGTTACTCAAGTGGACAAGACAAGCAAACTCTGCCACCTCAGAAGGTACCAATAGTCACGCATGTCAACAGACATGCATGTGCTATTTAGATGGTGATAAGTTTTTTGGAGAAAAATAAAGTAGTCTAAGGGAGGCACTTTCCAGAGGTTGGTCGTGCTCAGTGATGAGTGCAACGTGGGGAGAGAGAGTAGGAAGGCTCACCAACCAGGTATCTGAGCGAGGAACATTCTTGATAGAGACACAGGCATGTGCAAAGGTCCTGACGCAAGAGAGGGTTTGACAGATTTCCAGATCCTGTGGATGGAATGGAACATTCAAGAGCAACATGGTAGAAAATGAGTTAAAAGACATACCCAGTCATGAGCTTGGTATTTGAACCACTGGATCTTACTCAGAATGCAATAGAAACCGTTGGAAGAACGTCCCTTTGGGTGAATCGTTTCCGCTGATGTTTGTCTCACCTATTACACACTGCCCTTGTGCCTCCCTAAAGCTCCGCATGGAGCCATTAACAATTAAAATACTTAGCGGATGAATGAGTTGTTGGTGTGACCCAATGAAGGAGGCTGGGGTCCATCCCAGGCTCTTCTTAAGGAATGATTGGAAGAAAGTCTGATGAACTATATTGTTTATTGAGCCATGGTTTAAAATGCTCCTTCAGCCAGGATGTCCTTGTGCCATTTGTGTCCCTTTCTCCTACCCCTGGAGACAGAAGTAATCGGTGTTACTTGGTGCTCCTATTGTTCTTTGAACAGTAAAAACATCCGTGGAGCTGAACTCAACATGCCTGGTACTGTAGTTTCAAGTATCATGAGCTTTAGAACTAGACAGACCTCAGTTTGTGATGGATTAACCCATCTTCCCTTTCAACTTGTAAAATAAGGATGTACATATATACCCTTTAGGCATTTTGTAAGAGTTTTGACTATTTGTATAGAGAAGTTATCATGACACCTAGTGCTTAGCAAATGTTAAATAAATACTATGATTTTTAAAAGTTTATAATGTACACCGGAGCGTCTGCTGAAATAACATCACAGTTGACAGGTACGGGTTATGCTCTGTCGGGAACTTTCCATCGGTGGTTTTCTGTTGTGGTTATTTCCACTGGTGTGTAGCCTCACATGGCTCAGTGGGTCCCTGGAGATCAGAACTATACATACGTAGTCCATATAGTTCCTATGCTCAGTACCAGCACTCTCTGTCTAAAAAGGTGGGTGCTCCATAAATGTGTACGAGGATTTGTAATGTGTGTTGAAATCTGTAAGGCCCCTGAGCAACGGGGGGTTACAGATTTCTGCAGGTTGTTCCAGAGCCAGATCAACGCAGGTGGTCCTCCACCAACCCTCCCTCAACCTGGCAATGCAAAGGACACCTTCTCTACCCCTCTGGGGTGTCCCTAGTTTGGGTTCCCCAAGAAATCAGTCTTCTTGCTGCTTCTCTGTCCAGAAAGCCCGTGTATCTCCCTGTCTGGACTGTTTTAAATATTCCAGGTACTACCATCTATTCTGTCCATGTAATTCATTGACGCTCCCTGGTAGGAAAAAAACATGAACTACTTCTAAGCAATGTCTGTCTCATTGATGGGGACTTGCAGGTCACATTTGGATTTAATAGATTACAGTAATTCTAATATAATGAGTTCCTCCGTAAATATTATTTGTTGCTTGGTCCATCTCGTCTCCGATAAAGGCTATCATTTTGTCTCTGTTTCTGATTAGTCATACACTCGATGTATCTAGTTATATAGCATGTTAGGAGAAAGCACCTCGGGGAACCAGGTCAGCTGGTTCATATGCTCAGGGACTGTCATTTAGGTAGTTTGCTGGAGTCTTCATGACTTTGCACTTTTGTTACTCAATTGCTTTTTACACAAACATTTTTACACAATCAAAAGCAAGACACTATAGTGTTTTCTGAATTTGGTATTACAAGATCATGGTGATAGCTTTTTTACTTTTCAGTTTGGGCGATTCTTGTGTTCATTTTTTTTTTGAAACTTTGTGGTAAATGATTAAGTTAGTGGATATGTAAGAAAACACAATGAATTCCCCAGGACTTTATAAAACACAATTTACTGAGAAAAGTTGAACTGAAAAGTCTTAAACAACTCAAGAGTGCCGCAGTGTGGTTATAGCAGCTAATTTCATACAAAGCTTCACCCAAAGATTTTTTTAAAGCTAAAATGGGGTTAGTTTGCAGCTATTAAAGCCTTTTCTGTATACTGCAAATGAAAGTAAAATTTTAAAAGCTGTCAATTGTTTAACTTAAACCTTCCCCTAAAATAGACACACGTAGTAACTAATATTAACAATAGGCCCAAAGTTACACTACTGGTAAATGGCTGAGCAGTAGTTTTAAAATGCGTTTTTCTCTGATTTCAGGTCCTACGCTTAAACAATGTATAATTGGAGGCTTGTATAACTAAATGACACCCCCTCGGCCAGTAATTAATGATCCTGGCTTTGCATGTCTATAAAATCAATAATATCACACACATATTTTCCAGATCCCATTAATACCTCAAACAGAACTTATCAGCATTTGAACATTTCACAGCAACCTTGTCAAACTGAAGAGAGGGATGTCAATATTCTCATTTTTCAAACAAGAAAAATGAAACTCAAACTATTTAGGTGATACTGTTTATATGGCACTGAAGTGACAGAAGAAAGAGCAAACCCCTTGGCTTTTAGCTCCAGGTCCAGTCACCTGGGGGACTATGAGAACCTGGGGGAGCTGGAGGGCTGGGGACCAGAGCTGTACAGGGAAGACCATTTGATCTGATGAATTTTGGGCTGAATATTTTAATACCTTGGTACAGTGGGCAGCAGAGTTTACACATGGCTAAGTTGGAGGTTCATTGGGCAAACAATCATTGGCTCCCTGCATGGAACGGGTGCCTCTGCCAGGCTGGAGCCCTGGTCCCTGTGCTCAGACGTTCACGGCGAGGTGGAGAGATAGATAAAGAAGTGCAAATCCTTGGGCAGTGGGGAAGTCCTCTAATGGAGGTACGCACAGGGAGCTCAGGTGCAGGGAAGACCACAGAGGGGAAATGGTTTATCCTTGCCTTTACGGGGAAGCGGAGGATGAAAGGGTCAGGTCAGACACCACCCGGGCAAGCTAGGATTTTAAACAAACCCCAGGCTCACAGATAACGTGTATAAAGCTGTGGCTGAGAAAGAGTTAGAAACTGGGTAGTGATTCTCTGTGCTGCATCGAGTAGGTCATTCAGCCCTAGGTTTCCAGGATGTCTTACTCATTACTACATTGTATTTCTGAGTATCTTTATGCTGTTTTGCAGCAGAAAACAAATCCTTTGAAAAAATGTTACATTGTTACAATTCAATTACAAAATATTATATGTGTGTGTCTAAGTGCAAGATATGTCCTGCAATAAGATATGTGATCTTGTTGCAGAAGTAAACTATATTTGCATTAAGACAAACTACGGACTCGCTGGTGTAGAACAGTTTTTGGAAGAATATTTCCATCTAGTGGTCAGATTGAGAAACTTACTTACATGTACTCAATAGATTTGAAAATGTGTGAGTTGAGTTCTCACGCATTGAATAAACATTTTCCTTTTTACTAACGGTTAATGATTTCTTTTTCATCAATTAAAATCTGTTAAAAACAAGACAGCAGACCCAAAATGGAGTCCCTTAGGCTAACCCCTACACCACCAAACCAAGGCTCAGTTGCAGAATCTGTTTTCCTGGGTGTGGAATTTTAAAGCAGTTAATCCGGAACCACCGCCCGATCACCAGTGGTTCCATCACCTGCCCTGGAGACCCTGCCACCCCTAACGGAAAGTGCTGCGGCAACAATCAATCTGCTTTTTTGCTTCATACAACTTCCGTGCTCCTCCGCCCTCACGCCTATGGAAGTCACTTCGTATAGCTCGTCAGGGCTTCTTCCTACCGGCTATTGGATGCTGCCCGATTCAAGTTCCTTCTGGTTAAGTAAACTTTACATTTTTTAAATATTTATCTTTTAATAATTCTTATATCTGGCCTCTTGATTCTCAAGGAGATAAAGAAATATAAGATTCCCCAAAGACTTTATATTTGTTAAAGCTTTCCCATACCCTGTATCATGTGATAATCATGGATACCTTAAAAGGTAAGAACATTTAATATACTGTCCCCTTTTATAGATGAAGACACAGAAGCATAAGAAATTCACCTCAGGCCACCATGTAGAGAATGGACTCGAGTCAGGAGAACTTCAGTTCTAGGGTCTTTTTTCTTGGTGCGTTAGAAACTGGTTTTATTGTGAACTCTCTTGGTAGCATTATGACTTTAATGTGATGTGAATAATATTTATTTTCTAAGTATGGAATTTGGAATGTCTGAGGTTTTTGCAATTAAATGTATTTGTTATAATAGGCCAGGGTAACAAACAACCTCCAAATCCTGGTGGGTTCACACAGTAAAACTGCATTACTTACCTTGGCTCAACAGTAAGTCACATCACACCCACTTGCATTTCACTGGGCTAGATGCAGAGGAGTGGAAAACGAGGAAGAGCAAATTGAAGATTTGAGGAGGACTGCTCCCTGCCACAGAAGAAATACTGATTCTGCATTTAGTTTTATTAATGAGGATACATAATAAGGCTTTTGAAGCACATGGGTTTGCAAAACACTTCTGCACCTTTGCTTGCATGTGCGTGTGTTCCTATAAAGGACCTCAAGATCACAGTAGTGGATTGATATTAAGCCTTGGCTCATGGAACACTTACAGATGGTCCGTGAATGGCTCTCTTTTATGTATGTATATATGTCTGTATGTGTGTATTTTTAATCATGTAAATGCACCTGTGGTGGACCTAACAGCCAATATGAAAGCTCAGACTTCGACAAAATTATTTCTAGCTGTGCGGTCCCCACTCCATCCAAATGCAGCTCCCCTCCCAAGGTAACCGTCTTCCTAAACACTGTGTGCTTTCTTTCACACTGGTTTTATCTGATATATATACACATACACACATATATATGTTATATTGGTATATATAGTATACATATATACATGTATACAATGTGCATACTATTTATATATTGCTTAAGGGCATACATTTTTATTTTAGCTTCTGTATCTTGATATATTATGTTAAGATTCATCCATAATGCTGCATGTCATCATAGTTCGTTTACTGAATGTTGCATAACAGTCTTGTTTGACCATTTCCCGGTTTAGTTATTTACTCTCCTTGGGATGTGCAGTTGGTAAACCCCCCAATTCTTGCGACTGTAAACAGTTTCCCATGTACCTATGGGGCTTCATTTCTCAATAATTCTTCCTTTCTGGTCAAGCTTCCATCCTCACTGGTCTCTTAAACATACCACTCTATTTCCTGACACTCACCCTATTTTCTCCATCAGTATGCCTCTATACTTTTTTCTGCATTCTTAATTCTATACGTCATCCAAGACCAACGTAAAGTCTCACCTCCTCTGTAAAATTTTCCATTACCATTATTATTCTTTCTTGCTCTGAATGTTTAAAATGAACTTTGCATTCCGTGGGAATGTTGTGATTTGGGTATTTCTGGGCTTAGGAATTGGACTACGTTTTGTTCCCCAAAACTCCATCCTGTGACGGGGTCTCTCTGGACCTGCCTTGTGCCAGGTCCCAAGCCCTCTTTCAGTCCCCTGGCCACCTCCCACATCCCAGCTCCTGCGTATATAGTTCTCACATCCTATGCCTCACATCCTATGCCTCCGGTAAGGAGAGGGCCCATTCCCGAAAGTCACCTGAGGGGCAGCTACAAAATGTGAGTAACTCTACACTGTCAGTCTCGGTGTAGAGTTACAGCCTATGCAGTCCTGGGTTTTCCAGAAACCAGGGTTCCCAGGCGTCTGTTGTTGGCTGATACCCCGCCCACCCCCCTACCCCCCTACCCCCCCACCCCCGCCACCGCTGTCCCACCCCGGCAAGGCTGAACTGCATTCTCCAGCTCTACCTTCTGGGGAAATATGCACATTTGTGTTGTTTAGAGCTTAGTGGCAGGCAGATGCCTTGTGTCCCCAGATACTGCACCGTTGACCTAACTTTTGGCTAGCCTGAACTTCGCTGCCCACACATGCGCAGTCTGCCCTTCTTCAGCTGCCTTTGGGCCCCCTGGGCCTTCCTGGTCCGTGGAACTGGGGACCTACCTCACTGGCCTGCATGTTCTCCACTGTGGGAGGATCTCCGCTCCCCCTTCCCACACCCCCGAAATCACTCTCAGGTGTACCTGTAAATTGACGACAGTCACACTGTCTGCAGGGGCCAGACTTCTACCCAACTTCTCACAGGTGACATAAGAAAACTCCACTGCCATCCTTCAGACACGTCCCCAGCAGTGGTACCACGCCAAGGGCACGTGAGAACTGCGCATGCGCAAGCAGTTCAAGGAAGGTGGCAGAACTGCAACCCGGCTTGATTCAGGACAGGCGGGGCCCTGGAGCAGAAACTGGGTGGTGACAAAAGGCAAGCTTGCTTCCAAGCCTTAAACTACTATACGCATGCGCAGGTGCCCTCTGAACAGGTCAGAAGGATACTGGTCTGCCTTGGCAGAGTTCTCCTGTGCCCGGCTATGCCCTGCTTCCAGATCCCTTGCCACCCCAAGTTCATCAGCACGCGCACGCGCAGAACCCACCCCTGAGCCTTTCAAGCTTGTGTAGCTGGGGCCAGGCCCGAACAACCTTGCACAGTCTCCACTCAAAAGGCAGCCCAACTGGAAAACCATTCTTCCAGTGGCAGCTACAAATTGATGACTTCAGTGCCTATGCGGACTCCAGCAACCAGGCTCCTATTCGATGCTACCAGTCAGCACGCCCGGGTTGCTTTGCCAAGGCAGAACAGTATCCTTCTGACCTGTTCAGAGGGCACCTGCGCATGCGTATGGTAGTTTAGAGCTTGGAAGCAAGCTTGCCTTTTGTCACCACCCAGTTTCTGCTCCAGGGCCCCGCCTGTCCTGAATCAAGCCGGGTTGCAGTTCTGCCACCTTCCATTGAACTGCTTGCGCATGCGCAGTTCTCACGTGCCCTTGGCGTCGTACCACTGGCATTGGACGGGCCTGTGGAGCGCGGGTCTGTCCTCTACCTCCTGCATAGTTTGCACTGTGGAGGGAGTTCATCCACTGAAGACGCTCGGAGGCAGAAGCTGCAAATTAATGATAGTCACAACCACTTGGACCTGCAGCCTGTGGGTCTCACGTGACTCTTACTAAATCATTCCCCTCCAGCCTGCTTGGTCCTGCTCTGGCAAGACAAGACAGTGTCTATCAACCACTTTGCCTTCGGTGCAACGTGTGTATTTGTGCAGGCTGGGGTTCGGGATGAGGCAAATGCCTCATGTTCCCAAGATCCTTGCCTCTCTGGACTAGTGTCCTGCTCCTAGTGTCCAGGTACTAGGGTACCTGTTCCTAGGTACCCTGTAGTGTGCTTGCATTGCTTGTGGAGTCCCCATTTCTTCAGCCAGCCTGAGGGAGCCAGGACCCTCCAGCTTAGAGTCCAGTGCGGAGGGGGCTGACCCTGAAAATCACCTGGAGGCAGCAGCCACAGCAGGCCCCATTTGAATTTGCTGTCTGATGGGTACCCGAAGTCTCGGTGAACCAGCACTCCCACATCACCGTCTCTTGCTGCGTTCACAGCGGTCCCACCGAGCTAGGCTTTGATCCTGAGACACCCAGGTGCTAAGGCCTTTTGTGTAGGTGCAGTCTTAGGCATTGGCAGATGCCTGCTTTCCCCCAAGAGCCCGTGATAGTGACAGAGAAAACCACCAGATTTATCCATTTGCTCTCTCCTTATACTTAAAATTAGACCATGGTGGCAGATTGAGGCTAGAATCCTCTTTTTTTTTCCCCCGCACCCAAGACATGTCAAGTAATTCAATACGTTCTTTCGAATTTTTCTCTCACATAATTAATTTAAACAGAATTATCACCCACTCTGATCAAAGCACCTTGGTCTCTTCTCTGTTCCTGGAACATGCTTGGTGTTGCACCTCAGAGCACTCGAGTTTGCTATATGCTTCCCACCAGGAATGCTCTTTCCTTGGGCACCCAGAGGTCGTTCCCACTCAGCCCCTTCAGGGCTTTACTCCGATGTCATCCTCCCATCGCGATTTCCCCAGGACTCCATTTAAAGTGACACACCGCAACACTTCCCATCTCCTCCCTTCCCTCCTTAGCACAGGTGGCTAATATTCTAGACACGTATCTGTCTCGTTGATCATTGGTCATCTCCACCAGAATGTAACGTCTTTGAGGACAGGCACTTTGGTCACCTTTGTCCCCTGCTGTACCCCCAGACCCCGCAATGTGCCGGATGACCTGCTGGGAGCACTCACTTGTCAAAGGCATAAATCCCCCAACGAAGAATCGAACTTCCAAGTGTTCCCTCCTCCTTTTTTTTTTGAAGTCTTTCCTCACAGGTGGAAATGTGAATGAAAGGTGAAAGAAAAAAAAAAGATAGAGAACGTAAAGAAAGATAATTTAAAGAAAGAAGAATGAGGAAACCCTTACAAGAGTAAGGGTTTATAATACAGACTGCCCCTAAGACAAGTCTCGCATATTCAGCCCTTGCCACTCTTCTGGATTTTTCTCTGGTGCTTTCTGTAGGATACTCGGTCCAGGGTAATATTAGCAAAGTAAAAAGTTAAACTAGAAGTGGTTACAGTTTCTTCTACTTGATGAATAAATATATATACCATTTGTCCAATCATTTATATACACTTTCTCTTTTAAGAAAATTAACAATGATTTACAATAAGTTTCACATTTGAATTTAGGATGAACAACTTTTGTGTTTAAAAGCCACGGATCTGAGAATCCTTCATAGCAACAATGCAATATCTCATTAAAAATAATGCAACTCAGTTGCCTCATGATAATTTGCAAAACATGTATTTATTTCATATAAGTATAAATGCACATATAAATAAAAATAGTGTTGTTTTGTGGCATGAATAAATCCGGTCAGTGAATAACATTCACACACAATGCAAAGTCTTACTTATTGAGATTGAAATGTTCAATATTCCAAGAAGAAACCACATTTTTTAAAACTGGACACTAAATGTAGGTGGTGAGGAATGTCTAAATATACAGTCTAGGTCCATACATTTGCATCAGGAAACTCGTACTGACAAAAAATGTAGTACATTTTTACATAATCAGCATCATCTGGTAACCTAAAAACAAACTTATAAGGGCATTATTCTCATGCGGCTTTATATAAACGACTGCAAATCTGCACATCCATCAGCCTGTAATGGTAAGTACCGATGTCTGCACTGTGCTTTTAATCCAGTTGTCATGGAATTTCAAACAGCCTCAGCGTCAGAAATTGCTGCCCCTTCCAGTGCCCGCGCTACGAGGGAGGTTTGCTTAGAAATTCTTTGTTGAAGAATTTTCTTGCTTCGATGTTACTGAGGGACACAGAGCAACGAGACGGATTCTGTTTCCTGTATTCGATGCTCTCCACGATGGCGTTCTTTATCACCTGCAAACACAGGAAAAAGGGGGTCATCAGTGCTGCTCTGAGTTCATTTAAACATTGGTTTGGTCAACACAGAAATCTAATCAACCTTGTTATTATGGAATTCTCTTTGAAATAGAGAAAGAAATCTCTGAGTCAGGCATGTGGATATTTCCATTAAACATCTTGTCATTAGACTCCCATTATGCTCATATCCAAATACACTTCCCTCCCCTACCAGAGAAGAAGCAATTCTTGGAGTTCCAAACTTTGTGCTGATAAAATTGGGAATACAATACTTGTAACACAGTACATCTATCTCCATTTGTCCTTCACTGGGAAGGTGATAAGAGGGAAGATACCTTAATAACTACATCTTGAATTTATGTTTGTTACCATGCATGGACAAGTGGAAGTGAAGAACCACAAGGAAGGAAAGAACTTTCCTAAGCCCAGGGAGAGGAGGTGATGCAGACACACAGCCCTGCTGCCTCGATTAAACAAACACAGTCATAAAACACGGGCGTCCTTTACCTAGAAAATACCATCTTTGTGATTTGAGTGACGATGGCTATTTTTTACTCAGAACAATCTTTATATATGCTCCAATGAATGGTGACTGCCACCTCTAAGAATTTCTATTGCAATCATCATATACTTCTCTGGCATGAAGCTAACTTGGCTAGAAACTTTTGGGAAAAAGAGAAAATTTCGGATTTGGCTGGAGAAGTTATTGCAGAGCAATAGGAATGGGCTTCGGAAAGGAGGCCTGAGTAGCAACCTTGGCTCTGCTGCTATTTTACAACCTTGGTACCTCCAGGAAGACTTCATTCCTCAGGATGACACTACAGGATTGCATCTTCCCGGCCACTGTGGTAGAAGTTTCAGGACACAGGGGCAAGTCACAGGGGTAACCCACACCCCCCCCCTTTAACTGTGCCCCAGGGATCTTTGAGCAACATTAAGGGATTATCTACATGCAAGTCTGGGCAGTTTAGGATCCTGTGGCTCCCTGTCACAGAGTTGGTGTGGTGCCCTTGGCCTTGGAGAGGTGTGCAAAAAGGGCTGTTCCATTCCACATGTGACCCCACTGTGCAAACTGGGTTCGAGGCCTGGAGAAGAGAGATGTGTGACCTGGGTGGTGTTAACAGGCAAGTAAAGTTCCATGACTTTATGTCAGGTCCAACAGGCAGGCTCCTCTATGCTCTGATAGTAACTTTAACCAGCAAGCAGTTGCATTATGGAAAGAGGGGTTTATCACAGCAATGTGACACATTTATTTGCTTTATAATTTTAAAATTTACATCTATAGAGGTAGGCAAAAGTAGGCTTACAGTGGTGAGTATGCAAGAGTTTATTCTTGTATTACTATTTCTTAATGATTGTATTATGTTGCATACTAACAACTGTAAATCTACATTTGTCCACCCCTGTATAAATAATTATCTTCTAGGAAAAATGGGCTCAATGTTACTGAGTCTTTTATTAAAGCGATGTTTGCTGACCCCATTTCTTCATGAGTAAGGGAAACATAAAGAAGTCTATTACCATAGAAGAGCTTCGGGACCAGGAAAGAGACCTTGACCAAGGGCCTCCAGGTACTGAGCTTTTTGACTAGGTGAGGTCAAGGGGAATTAGCTTAAATTCTTGAGTTTGTTCCCTCTTCTTCAAAGTGAGAATAATGACACTAATCTTGGCTTTTGCAGGGATGGAGGATCATTTATACAAAGTATTTTGCATGCCCTGGTTGGTATAGTTCAGTTGGTTAGGGCGTCATCACATAAATCGAAGACTTGTAGGTTGTAGGTTGTAGGATTCCTGGTCAGGGCACATGCTTGGGTTGCAG